TGCACCGGGTTTGAGTCCAAGGCTCCAAAGGGGCCTCTGGGGCGACGTTGTCTGCTTCCTGTCTTTGCGGTTTCTGGGGGTGCTTTCGCTTGCGAGGTTTTTTCGTTCCGTGGGAGTTCGGTTTGCTCGGGTCTTTTGGCTTTGAGGAACGGAGTTTTTCCCCCATGGGCAAAAATTTCGACCGATGCTGTTTGTAGCTCATCAGCATCCCCTTTTCGTCGACCAGATTTGCTGTTGATCAAACATTTGCTGCAAGCATTCTCCTTTCTGGATTCTTGGGTATTTTGGCGCGGTTTGACCGAAAAAGTGTTTTTGTGAGGCCCTGAGCGCTGGGTGACGGCACAAAGAAGTAATGATTTTGGTGGCGCTCCCATGAGGCTCGTTTTCGCGGAGGACTGCACCTTGAAGGCAGCCAGCAGTTTCCTAATCTGGCGAATTTTATGTAGCTTTTTTGGCTGCAGTCGCGTGGCCCACTGGATGTATGAGAGATTTTCCGGATGGTTGTAGCCATGTTTATGGCTTAGGTTGTCGGGGTCCTGATCGACGGTTGTGTCCACAAGCAGAGAGGCCGCTTTTGACGGAGTGGAGCTGGAGACTGGCTTCGCTGCTTGTCCCCGCACATCTGGCTCAATACAGTTCAGAGGCTGACTTTGTTGAGGAGTGCACAGCTGCAGCTGTGTCCTGTGATATGGAGATAAGCGTTGATAGCTCCACTTAGTTTGGGCGCTGCTTGCATGTGGAGTTTGCCTCCTCCAGGGCATCCCGGCCTTTGGTGGGCGAGAGGCCTGTGGTGGTCGGATAAAAACTGCTGTCCGGAGACGCAGCTGTTTTCGTCGGCCTGCTTTCGGGAGCACGGGGAGGTATGACCACAGTCGGCTTGGTCATGAGTTTGGGGGGCTGAATCGGTACCCAGCGGAAGCCTGTTTTGTGCTTCCACTCCTGACCCGCCTTGACCAAGCTTTTGCACTTCTAGAAGACGATCCTCAGATAGGCGTCTGATCATTGGGTTGGCCTTTAAAATGCTTCCAGCCCGCTCCAAGATCTACTGTACGTCAGATGGGGAAGAAAGAGTGACTAGATGTCCAAGAGTTCGCTTACTTCCCTTCTGGCGTAGCCATTCTGCTTGGAGCGATTTATCAGTCTTAGTGAGGACATTGCTAAGGATAGATTTTGCCAGCTTCGCTGGCATGAATTTTCCTGAGAATAACCCCCAGATTATCGGTCTGTTTGCCCTTAGGCGCCTGTCCACTAGAGATGCTGTGGCGGTCTTTGTAGCCGCGTCAGAAAGTTGTATGACTTTCTTCGAAGCCAGAGGACCCGGTATGGATATCGTGAGGTACTCGTTCAGCGAAGAACGTTCCTTGTCCACTTTCGTCCAAGTCGCTGCATTCTTAGCGCCTGAATCCTCCAGTGCCTTAGAAAGACGCTCCAATCTCGTGTCGAGTATCCCGATCAAAGCGGAACACTCACATCGGCCTTTCTAAATCTGCAGAGGGGAATGGGTACTGATTTTTTGGGCTCTCCTCTTGGTTGCGGTATGCATTGGACCCTTAACGTAGAGGCAGCTGGCGCAGACAAACGGGTCAGGAGAGTTAGCTGTTCGGCTTGTCTGGTCGTCCTGTAAACCCGTGCATTTAAAGTGCCACCAGGCTTTGCAGTTTTGGCATTACATACCGCCTCTGACGTTTGACGGGTAGCCATTTCGTCCACATCTGCTGTAGTCTATCAATGGCTGAAGCGTGCAATCGGTGTAAATTTATGTCGTGTTTAGGATTAGATGTAAAATAGGAAGTGTGCGCAAAATATCAAGGGCTGTCTCTCAAATATTTTGTTAGAGTAATAAAATTCAACGATTACTCGTGTGTACTATGTGAATAGGTTGAACAACGAAAAAATTCTTTCACAAATTTGCACGAGGGAAAAACGAAACCGATTTCGAACGTACCGCTGACGTTTGCTGGGTCAACGGGAAAAACCTGTTTGCCAAGCTTCTTCAAACATGGCATAGGTGAGGATTGGGTCCCCTCGGAAGCGATGACACTCCAGTGGAAGTAGATCAAGTACCGCGGGACGGGCATCGTTGTTCACGGATTTGAGACCGGCAACAATTTTCGTAGAGGCTCGCTGGACACGCCCAATGAGGTTGACGTCTTTCGTGCGTCCTGAGTAGACAAGTTGGTTGACGTATTCCAGGAGCGTTCTGTTTAAGGCTCCGTAGAGTATTTGAAAGTCATTTCAAACCCACAAACATCAAACGCCGCTTGAAAAGGCGGGTCGCATCGGAGGGAACTGAGGCGGCAACCACCGTTAGGCCAATAAAAACAGAACGAAGGGGCGCAGAGCGTGTGAACCATGGCTGAGCCACGAGAAGCTGTGAGCTTCCAGGCCAAGCAGAGACGTACCGCAATGTTATGAGAGCATGTGCCCAATGGGTTGTGTGGCGAACAAGGCGTTTTCACGTATGAGAGACTGACTTTTGTTTGGTTTATTTCTCAAGGCTAGGCAACACATAACATCACCAGTAAAAACATAGCAGATAGAGCGGTCTAAAGAAGGGGTCTAGCATGAAGGAACCTGGCATAAGTTGCTTCTGGAAAAAGCCAAGCCAGTAATAGGGAGCACTTTGATCAACTAGACATTGCGGGTGACTTTGCTCCAGGCATATCAAAGAGCGTGCAGGGTATAGTAGTTTCGTATCATATTATATTTTATTTTTATTTACTTTTATTTTATAAATTATTGATATAGATATTTTTCTTTTTTGTCCACTAAATGTACCCTCATGAAGCTCGGGAGAGGTTTGTACCTGATTCATATCAGAGGGTAATTTAGTGTTAAGTGAGGCGGCTGAAGCTTCCGCAGACTGAGAAATGTATGCTGGTGCGTGATGTCTCGAAACCGATCAGCGAAAACCTTGCATATACGGCTGTAGTAAACTAGAAATAGCTAGGGCGTATGTTCGTACTCCATGGAGGGTACACCAAATTGTTTGCTGATTTATGGAAGTTACGCTTCGCCTGGTCTCCGCTATGAAAATATTACGGTCCAACAGACCGTAAAGGAGAGTTAGATTTAGCTTCAACCGTCTCAGACAAGCTGGCTAAAGGCTCAATATTATGAAGCGTGAGCGGTATGGGAGAGGGATGGAATGTGGGGATAATCTTTTAGTGAATGAGCACTGGACGTTCTCAAGTGCTAGTCTACAACTCTAGGAATAAAGGAAGGAGAAAGCAGGAGTTCATTCCACAACCGGTCGCACGCACATCTTGAAAACTGTGACATTCGTGTCCCGAAATTAAAGGAAGCGTAATATTAGAATGCGGAGCATACCTGTTCAAATGGCCCATAACTGGACTTGATGAGAAAAGCATGAAGTACAGGGGTGTTCGAGATCAAGGGTTTCATTTTCTGTTGAACGGGTAATAATAATAAGTTCATTTCTCAGCTTGTAGGGAACATGCCGACTGAGGCATGATCTGGTCGCTAAAACCTGAACACAACACAACGGGGAGTAAGCCACAATCAACGAGTGTGCTTATTGCATGAAGAGTCAACGCAGTTGTGGCAACCGAAAATTAGGGCAACGGACAGTGTTATGTATGCGTGTGAATGGGAACTATCCATTCATAGCGCACCTACAGACCTACCACTTCATATGCGTGCACTTTGCGTCGTCAGAGGATGCAGAATGGTTTTGAACAGCGAGGAACTAGTGATTCGGTTCGGCTAAAATGACTTAAATCCAGTCAAAGCAAGGCGTCAGACATTAAACAGAGCTGACAGAGCTACTGAGGAATGGGAGCAGGTCTAAAAGAGCTGGGGATAAGTAGGCTGGGTACGGAAGCTTAAGGCCGGAGGCAAGGAAATACAACCAGTTCAGTGTAGACGGGCTTGAAAACAATTACGATGGCAGGCGCTGGGCACTGCAACACCACTACGCTTCAGGGAACAGGTGCAAATATAGTCGCAGGAAGTGAACGCCTGCATAAAAGATTGATCAAGTGGTGATTTATGGACAAGAACACTTGGGAGTGTAATTGTCTCACTTGCGGGTCAGTGCCATGGGATTCAAGCTGGTAGATTTGCGTTATAGGAGCTAGCAGTAGGTAGGTTGGAGTTAGAGCGCAAAGAGGGGGGTTTGGGACCTATTTTAAATAACACTTCTAGTGTAAGCTGTGGCACCAAAAGACGCTCAGCTCCCTCAATGGACAGGTAAGAATTGATGGCCTTTTCAAAGCCTACAGGAGATGATATGGCACTGATATGGGAAAGGAGCTTGTTTCATAGTTCAGATTACAGGCAAATGAAGAAATTGTCTAAGAACAGTTCGACAGGTCGACAATGGGAGAAAATATTTAGAGTTGCGGATGTCATAAGGAGGACAGGAAGAAAGGCGTTTGTTCAACCTATTGCGCCTTAGCCATAATGAATCCAGCCCAAGTGAAAACAGTGAAGACGATACGTTAGTGCGGATGACGCCGAAAACAAGGCCTTGCTAAACGAGCTACACATTCTCCATAACGCTCGAGCATGTCTGCGAATACAGTGAGGCAAATTCAAGGGGGCTGGATTCAAGAATGGGTCTCACAAAATTCAAATACGGCAAGTAAACGTGATTGATCGTGGAGGGATTGGCGAATGGAAGCACAAAGCTTGAGAGCTTTAGCCACTTTCTACCACGCATGTCGGTTAAAACTAAACGCACAGGGAACCCTAAGGCCTAGGTCCTTCACTTTGAGAAGAGTAGGAATCGAGAGTCGAGTAAGAATTAGCATCCCTGGAGAAATCTTTAATCGATGTGAGATGTCTTGGCAGTTTGGAAAGGCGAAGGAAAAACAGCAGTTGGAGGACCACAGGAATAAAGAATATAGATCAAACCGGATGTTAGCGAGAGTAGAAAAAGTCAATGGCCTTAAACGAGTAAGCTACCTTAATATCATCAGCGAACAGAAAACGGGATCCATGGGAGATACAATCGGTGGCATTTTGGTGTGTAGTGAGAACAGTAGGTGGTTAAACACACTACCAGGAACAACTTAAGTGGCAGTGGGAAGAATTGATGAGAGGAGATCCACGATCATAGTGACCTGGGTTCTCTGAGTAAAATAAGAAGTGGACCATCGCAGTAGCGGGCCACCGATCCCCGTTGATCGCGATTTGTTGGGGAGTGCACTGTGGGGGACTTGGCCGAACGCCCGGCCAAGCACCGTAGGCGGACGAAACACAATTAAGTTAATCAACCTGGCGTGTGTTAGCTGACAGCTGTGCCATAAACCCATACTGCTGATTGATAAGTATCTTGGTGGTGAGCAGGAAATCCATGACAGAGACTTTGATAAGGCACTTTAGGGCACTAGACAGTAGTCAGGCATGGTGGATCATACGATAGCTGGCTGGAGCAGTTCGTGGACCATTAATTGTGAACCCATCGGCTGGGATGGAGCGTCGGCAGGAAGTAATATGAAACGTAAAATAAGAGAAGCTTAGGCTATAGGCATTTGACTAGCGAAGGGCAACAGCCTTGACAGAGGGAGGAAATGTGTAAGTGATTTTTATGTCGTCCGCAAACGGGAAGGGTTTGCCATGGGACGCGGCACCAAAAGCCCGTTGATGTACACTGGTTAGAGGATGGGGCCTATCACTCTCCCTTGAATGGCTCCTTTGCTGGTCGACAGTGAGGAGGAAAACTTATTGATCTGATGATGGTATTATACATCGTTTGCACTCCTGACAATGTATCCCGGCACCAAAGCTGTCGAACGTCCATCAAAAGAATTACCTGAGATGCTCAACGTGTACTGCCGCCGAACGTGGTCAAGTAGACATGTACAGTGCGTCGTAAACTAGGTGCGTGCGGCTACAGTGTTCCAGAAACTTCGATGCCTTTAGACGCGACATCGGTAACTGGAGTTAGATCATGACTGGCTGATGGGCCTACAGTTTAGAGCATGACGCCGAACAGGCAAGCGGCCCGATATTTCTGCCAATCGCGTGCGGTTTAGGCTTGTCGGTAGCAGTAGCGCCTAAGTGCTTTCGGCGAAGTGGTATCAATCAATAATTTTACCTTACAATGTCACCTTGGAGATTTTCGGCTTGTCCTCGAAGTCTGAGGATTTACTTGCAAAGGCTCAATTGGCATTGGAATCCTGCCTGTCAAGCGTGGTGGTCCTAAAGCGCTATGGGTTTCGGTCTCAGGCGGAGCAGCTGGTGGATATTCCGCAATGATGCTGGGATCGTAAGTATCCAGGAACATCTCTAGACTCAACTTTCTCCCTCCGTCGGGCCGGAACTGCTGGTTCGTCGGACAGATTTGGTTTGTGCTGCGAATCCACCCTGCTGGGAAAATTTGAATACCGTGAAGCACTTTGCCTCACAGGCAGAAGATGTGTCCTGAAATACACTCAGGGCGACTGCCACTATCTTCGCAAACCCAATCTCTCGGATCTTCTTGAACGAGGCGCGCAATTGCGTCGTGACACCGATTCAGCTGGTTCTTCGTTCTCGTGCTGCGGTGGGTCAATTGTCTTTCATTTGTTCTGTTCGAAGCTTTCAGCAGAACAGTGCCTCTGCTAAGGACACGCCTTAAGGAGAAATTCGATTGTGCGAGGCCTTATATGACAGCAGCCTTTGTAAAATCCCATCGATCAGTCCATTTTTATTGAACTTTTGAAGTGCACGCTTCAGCCTCTTATTGAAGCGTTCATCCTAGCCGTTCTACTGCGCATGAAACGGTGGCGTGTGGATGAGTTATGCCATACTCTCGATAAAACTATGCGAGCACTTACGACGTCAGTCGCCCGCTGTTTTGAGATACAGTATTCTCCGGCGTTTCAATGTAACTGGACAATTTCCGTAGTTCAAGGATTGTAGTATCAATTTGCGTGGCTGTTCCCTAAAAGAATTTCTGGTAACTTACTGTAATCGTTGGCCGCGATCAAAAAGTTTTGGCCACCGACTGGATTTCATGGTCGATAAGCAGTCGAGACCGGTGCTTGGTCGGCTGCGA